GCAGTGCAAAAGAAAACCCCTGCCCTCACAAAGTCATTCTGAGAATCTGGGGTGATAAAGTTAATTCATATACCAGGACTCACAAATGGAGGCTGTCCCACATCACAAATCTAAACCTAAGTCAGCTGCACTTACGGGAAATAGGACCTGCTATCTTTACAAGGAAATCCTTGCCCTTCTAGCCAATCATGGCCTGTTTCAGGTGGCTATTCTAAAACTCACTCTTGCCCAAATCCCTTGCTCCACTGCTTGTGAAGCACTGTATCTTCCCACTTACTCATCAATCAATGGATTTCCCCACCTCAAATAAAGAACATTAATGGCATCACTAAATTGTTTTGGCATGTGACAGGAAGTAAGAGTGGGAAAGATTGCCTCTGTGGTAGGAGATGGGGTAAATGTCAAGCAGATCTCCAAGTCAAGATGGCGGTGTTGCAGACATGGCTCACCACTTCACACAACCACATTAAAATCATAACTAAAATGTAGAACCATCACTTAGAACCATCAGATATCAAGTTGAATGGAAGTCTGACAACTATAGAATTAAAGAAACCACATCCATCCAGACAGGTAGGAGGGGTAGAGACACAAAACAGGCTGGTCCCACACCCATGCATGGTGGATAAAAATGTGGGAGGAATATCTTGGGAGCAAGAAGTCCCTGTCCTACACCACACCCACCATGCCCCCCAGCCCAGGGTTCCAGTGCCAGGAAGATAAGTCCCCACAACTTCTGGCTGCAAAAATGTTTGGGAATTGAGTCAGTGGAAGAAACTCCTGTAGCCCCAAGCAGTTTTTCTTAAAGAACCCATACGTGGACTCACCTACTCAGATTCACTCTCTCTGAGCTCCAGCACCAGGGTAGCAGCTTGAAAGGCACCAGTGGCATAAAGGGAAGAACTAAAGTATCTGGCATCAAGGAAAGAGCTATGGACAGCTTCTTCCCAGATAGAAACAGGCAGAGGCCATTTTCCTTTTCTTAAACCCTTCCCCCACAGAGCCACTGAGATGGCAAGCAGGTGCCATATCTGAGATTCCATCAACCTGGCTAACACTGACCCACCAGGGAGATCCATAGAGACTCCAACCCACCCAACTTATGGGCCAACACAAGCTGCTTTTCCATATGAATGGCTGGTCTTGGCTCTTGAAGCACAAATTCCTAAATCCTCTTAAACAAGCAACAGCTGGCCTCAGTGAGCCCCAGGCCTGGCACGAGCAGCAGCCAGCCTAGATTCACAGCTTGGCTTCGCCTGAGAATTTCCTAGCCCAGAACAAGTAGCAGCCATCTCAGATTGCTTTATAGCTCAGGCAGGGTGGTTCCAGGCAAAACACAGGTGGGGGCTGACCTTGGCCTATACCACCCTGGAAACCACAGGGCCAGCACAGCCAGTGCACAGCTACATACCACATCTGAGCACCACCACCCTGCCCTTGCACAGCTGATCTACCAAGGAGGGCAGAGGTTAGTGGTCAGTGGTCACAGCCAATCCTTGCAGCTGACTGGCCTGAGTAAATCCCTCCCATTGACCTGCTAATAGGAACCAAGTCTCAACTACAAGAGGAAGGTATACTCAGCCCACCCAAAGGGCACACCTTGAATACGCAGCTTGGGTGATAGGGGTTGCTGTGGCACCAGACCCGAGAGAACACCTACTATATTAGGCCATACTACCAAGATACGGAGTCAAAGCAGCTCTACCTAATAAATAGAAACAAATGCAGGGAGGCTGCCAAAATAAGGAGACAAAGAAACATGGCCCAATTAAAGAACAGATCAAAACTCCAGAAAAAGAGCCAAACAAAATGGAGATAAGCAATCTATCAGATGCAGAGTTCAAAGCATTGGTTATAAGGATGCTCAAGGAACTTAGTGAGGACCTCAGCAGGATAAAAAAGATCTGGTCAGAAACAAAGGATACACTAATTGAAATAAAGAACAATCTACAGGGAAACAACAGTAAAGTGGGTGAGGCCAAAAATCAAATCAATGATTTGCAACATAAAAAAGCAAAAAACAGACAATTAGAACAAGAAAAAAGAATCCAAATAATGAGGAGAATATAAGCAGCCTCTGGGACAACTTAAAGAGGTCCAGCATTGACATCAGAGGGATGCCAGAAGGAGAAGAGAAAGAACAAGATATTGGAAATCTATTGGAAAAAATAATGAAAGAAAACTTCCCTCATTTAGTGAAGGAAATAGACATGCAAGTCCAAGAAGCACAGGGCCCCAAACAAAATGGTTGCAAAGAGATCCACTCTAGGACACATCATAATTGAAATGCTAAAGGTTAAAGATAATTTTAAAGAGAAAATTTTAAAAGCAGCAAGAGAAAAGCAATTAGCTACCTACAGGAGAGCTCCCATAAGACTGTCAGCTGATTTCCCAAAGGAAACTTTGCAGGCTAGAAAGGATGGGCAAGAAATATTCAAAGTCATGAAAAGCAGGGACCTATAGCCAAGGTTGCTCTGCCCAACAAAGCTATCATTTAGAATTGAAGGGTAGATAAAGAGCTACCCAGATAAGAAAAAACTAAAGGAGTTCATCATCACCAAACCATTATTATATGAAATGTTAAAGGGATTATTTAAGAAAAATAAAGATCAAAACAATGAACAATAAAATGGCAAAAATACATATTTATCAACAATTGAATAAAAACAACTAAGCAAACAAGAACAGAGACAAAATCATGGATATGGAGAGTGTTTTGATGGTTGCCAAATGGGAGGGGGTGTAGGGAAATGGGTGCGGAGGTGAGGGGATTAAGAAGTACAAATATATAGTTACGGAATAATCATGGGGATATAAAGTATGGTATAGAAAATGGAGTAGCTAAAGAACTTATACACGTGACCCATGGACATGAACAATGGTGGGGGATTGCCTGAGGGAGTTGAGGGTACTGGGTGGAGGAGGACAAAAGGGAAATCAGGAGAACTGTAATAGCATAATCAATAAAATATAATATAAAAATGTAAAAAAGAAAAAATTCAAGCAGATCAACAACAAAATATCAGGTATTGCTAATGCTATACAGTAAACAGAGTGGTGTACTGAGAGAGACAAGGGGATGATTTTAGGTTGGGGCATCAGGAAAGGCTTCTCTGAAGAAATCATATGTAAGTTGAGGTCAGAGGACAACTGTGACACTGACCATATGCAACAGGCTGCTGCCAAATATAGGATCTGCTCTTTGTAAGCCTTCAATAAATATCCAACACAAATAGTTATCTCTAAGGTATGTACCCCTTATTGGAAATAAATCACACAATGCTTAATATTAAAGATATAAAGTTAGAACAGTTTGAGTTGCCCTAGAACACCTATGTATACAATATTTCAAAGTTACATTTACTCACACTATAAACATTTAAAATAGGTTTTCAAGGGGAAAAAGACCTCCTAGCCTTGATGTTATCACCACATATTTTATATAATGCATGTATGAAAGATGTTTACATATAGTTTTACCACATTAATAAAAATGACCACCTGACCTTGGAAAATGTCAAATCTGACATCGATTTGTAGAAAGAATGAACATTTCTTTCTATTAGATGTTACTTCATCCTACCACCTAGTATGCTCAAAAGCCCAGGCCCAATTTAAAATTCCATGTTGGTGAAAGCAGGACTCCACTTGAACTCAACCATGTTCATGCTTCCATTGTTAAGCCTACTGATGTTGTGAATATTTGTATTATTGTTACTTTTTAATCAACATAAATTCTTATAGAAAACCAAAAATTATACTTTTCACCATTCCTGATTCTAGGAAAAATAAAATCTGTTAATAGAAGAAGAAACAAGGCCATACCACTGTTAAAAAGAAATGGCAAGCTCCAAACGGAGTCACTTGTGCTAAGCAAAGGAAGACGTAATACCTAAACTACCTGCTGTTACACTTTGCCCGGGGAATGCAAGAGCAACTGGTCAGGGTGAAAGTTTTTGGTCATCATCTATAAAGTAACCTGCCACACAGGCCTTTCCCTTCCTCAAAGGAATATAGATAACAGAACATCCAAACCTATAGAAGAAATTTAGAAAAAATTTATTTGAGCCAAAATTTGAGGATATGCCTGGAAGCAAGATCTCAACATATTGAGAATATGGTTCAGAGAATTATAGCTCTACAGTCTCTTTTACACATTTAAAATAAAAAAAGAAAACATTAAAGAAGGCACGTGAAATCCACTGATGGTACATTTATGTCATGAGAAAGCAAAGCAGGGAAATCTCTAGGACTGGAGAAAAAGCAAAATGGAGAAACACACACTACTTCTACATTGGTGGTACAGGGCAGTTAATAACTAACATTTACAGCACACAGAGATGGAATTTGGGGGAACAAGACAACAATGAGGGGTTCTGTGGTCTCAGGCTCTGGTGGGAGGTTGTGCCCTGAGGAGTCTGTAAAAGGAAATGACTTTGACATATCTAAGGTATATTATCTTCAATTCACAAGAACAATGGAAAGGGCTCACTTAACAAAGGGTTGATCTTTGTAAGAAAGTGATAGGCCTGGGCAGTTAACTACCAGCTATGACCTGACCAGCTTGGAATTTGGGATCAGAGCACCCTGCGTGGTTACTTTTGGTTACTCAGTTGTCAGGCCTGCCTGCCATGTGACCTCCTGAGCCTGCCAGGTTCATTACACAGCCCTTCCTTCTGCCCACAGGAGGATGAAGTAATCTGCCACATAGACTCCTTCCACCGCCACAGGCAGGGTACCTTGACCTGAAATAAACTTCCTTGTCTTACCTTTAAAAACTTTTCCCTTTCTGTACCCTTTGGCACTCCTCTCTACTTGCTAGGTGAGATGCTGCCCAATTCATGAATTGCTCAATAAAGCCAATCAGATCTTCAAATTTACTCCACTGAATTTTTTGCATCACGGAGCAGGGACAAAAACTCAAGGGGAAAACAGGCTGCACTTTATTAACAATATATGTTGTGACAAGGTTTTCAGAAATCCACTGTGGCGAAAAGTTGAGAAAAATTTGCACCTTTATTTTGATGGAATAAAAACAGAAACAGTAATGGGAAATTGAGATTACATTGCTTCAGCTTAGTTTTTTCTCTGCCCATTAAAAAGATGCACTGCTTAAAATACTTTATTAAGCAACTCGAATAAAACTGCAAATCAAAGAAAATTTTGAAAAGGATTTTCAGTGAGTTTCCGTGAAAACATTCTTTATTGGTAAGCAGACACTCGAAGTTTGTCATTACATATGTCATGCAAAACATCCGACTCCACACACGGTCGCCTCACCGCTCACTGTGACAGACTCTTTTCTGAGAGGATTACAGATTTTCAAAGTTACCATGACTGCGGAAGTAAAAAGAAACCAGGAAAATGACTCTGAAGCAAAGTACTATATAGTTCATGTAAAAGTCTTGTTCATCCCTCCTGGATGTTTAATTCTCCTAATGTAAATCTCTGTGTCTTGGAAGACTACTGTATACAAAAATGGCAGTTGTTCTGTATGTGCACATAATTGACTGATAAAAGTAAACTACAAGAATAAAATTTCCAGTAATTTTACAGGGTTTGGCTATTCCCCACCCCCACCCCCATTTTGTTAATTCAAAGCAGAACAATGCCCTTTTGTTTCAAAATGCTGATTTGTTTCAATAGCATATTTCCTTAGGAAGATGATTTTGCTCCTGAGAAAATGTAGTGTATCTCTTGTCAACTTTCTGAACTGAGACTGATTCCTTAAACGATTGTTTATATATTCTCCAAGTTGTTTGCAATGAGTGGGAAGAAACAGGGTGTCCTATCCTGAGAAGACTTAGGGATAATCTTCTTACTCTATCATGACACTCAGAAAAAGCTTTCTTTGTAGTGGTGTGATCAACACTTCTCTCAGTGGAATTTCTGGTAGCACTCGCAGCACTAAAACCCCCCACACAGGTAAATCTGCTGCCTTAAAACCACCAGAACTCCTGAGAAAGGTGAAGAATTTTAAATCTCTTATTGGCACATTCACATCAACTGGCAGCAAGTAGGCAAGAGTTTCCTAGATACCTGGAAGTGGGGTGCTGCCACGACAGCCCCCTGAAATTACAGAAGTGGCTTTGAAACCGGTCAGTGAGTAGAGGATGGAAGACACTTTAGGAGCATGGCAGAGAATCACCACAGAAAACATCTAAGTTGCTGAGAATAGACTGTGAGGAGAAATAAGGACATGAAAGGTGCTGCCTGTGAGAGCTCCAAGGAGAGTGAGGAGCAAGCTGTTGGAAACTACAGGAAAAGAGTTAGTGGCAAAAAGCTTAGCTGAATTGTGTGTCCTGCAGTTATGTGGAAAACAAACATTTTAAGTGATGAATTTAGTATGTTTAGATAAAGAGATTTCTAAGCAAAGTGCAGAAGGTGAGGACTGCTTCCTTCTTGCAGATTACAGTAAAATGTGAGGGGAGATACACTGAGGGAACAACTGTTATATATAAGGAAAATAGGACTTGATGACTTGAAAATTCTTAGCTTACCCTAAGGGCAAGAGACATGAAAATTACGAGATTCAGGAAAGCCTGCTCTAGGGAAAGAGGCAAGAGGGCAGCTGTACAACTTTTGTTAATACCCCTTTAGAAAGATAAAAGGCCTGAGTGTGCAGTCACACAAAAGGCTCTTTGAAGAGATTAGGAGTGTGACTTACAGATCCTCTCAGCCATCTCGGAACCAAATCAGAGATGGAGTTCCTTATTTTAGAAAAGTATATGGAGGAGCCGCCAGTCTACAGTGAATCCTGTAACACACACAGAAGACCCCCCAGTGTTTTGATAATGTTGTACCAGCAGACAGTGCCCTCCTACACTAAAAGGTACAGGGTATATGAAATGGAAGGGGACTGGACCTCCCAGATTTCCAGACAAGAAACAAGTTGATGAAACTATTTGGCTAGAAACATGTGCTACCTTTCACGAAAAACTCCAGGACTCTGAGGAGAAGCCTTAAGCCCAGAGGATGGTGCTGGTTGCCACAGAACCCCAGTTCCAGGCTGAGGCCCAACAGAGTGTGCCTAACTAGATTGCTGTGTTGCTTGGCACTGGTGCATCCTTTTTTCATTCCGTTTTCTGACTTTTTGAACAGGAATATCTGTAACTGTTATCCTGTGCCTGCCCTATCTTCATATTTGGGAGAAAATCGCTGGTTCTAGGTTCTCAGGTGGAGGGGAACTGTGTTTCAGGAGTCATACACAGGTCCTCACTCATACCCGATTTAGATGATTTAAATGAGATTTGGGATTTTTCAGTGAGATTCAGATAAGATATTGCATTTGAAACTAATGCTGTAATGGTCTGAGATTTTTGAGCACCTCTGCTTGGGATGAATTTTTGGGATGGATGTGAATTTTTGAGGCAGGAGTAAACTGTGGTGAATAGCGTGCCCCCAGCCCTGGCCTCTAAAATACTCATGTTCTAATCTCCAAACCTGTGAGTTTTGCAGATGTCATTATCTTAAGCATTTTGAAATGAGATTATCCTGGATTATCCATGTAAACTAAATGTAATCACAAAGATCCTTAAAAGAGAAAAGCAGAACTAAAGTCCTGGTAAAAGAGGAAGAACAGAAGCACACGGGAGGGGCAGGGATACACACCTCGGTGAGGGACGCCAGCAGCCTCTACAAGCTGGAAGAGGCAAAGTGCAGCTTCACTCCTGCAGCCTTCAGAAGGAAGCTGTGCTATGTTAGTTTTCATGGTAAAAGAGAATTTAAAGATGTGGTTAAGGTTCCTACAGACTTTGTGATGGGAAAATAAGCCTGGATGACCTAATGGACCCAATCTAATCACATGAGTCCTTGAAAGCAGAGAACCTTTCATGGCTATTGTCAGAGAAATATAATGACAGAGAAGTCAGAAAGATACATTGTTGCTGGCTCTGAAGACGGGAACAGACGGCCACAGGTCAAGGAACACAAGTGGCCTCTAGAAGCTGAAAAGGCCAGGAAATGCATCTCCCAGAGTCTCCAGAAAGAAACGCAGTCCTGTCAGCACCTTAATATTAGCCCAGTGAGGCTGGTTTAACCTGAAGAATTGGAAGACAATGAGCCTTTGCTGTTATGGGCCACCAAGTTTGTAGTCACCTGTTAAGAGCAGCAATAGAAAACTAATCAGGAGTGGTGACCTAAGATGAACTGGTGTCTAGGAAGAAAACAAAGCTTTTCTATCATTCCTGACATAGCCTGCCTTACTCAGGAAGTGCCTGGCTTCAACAGAAATGCAAACATTCCTGCTGGCTGTTCTTCAGATCTAGAATTGGATCTAAGCCTGACAGAATTGACATTCCTATATTTCTACACTTGTTTTGTTCTGGAGTAGAATACATTCTGGTTTTGACACTTCGAATAATGTTTGATATCTACAGTGGGTCCCCTAGAACAGCGGACTCCAACCGTTTTGGCACCAGGAACTAGGCTTGTGGAAGATGGGGTGGGGGGTGGGGGTGGGCTGGGACAGGAGGTGAAAAGCTCAGGTGGTAACACGACAAAGCTTCACTCATTTGCCTGCCGCTCACCTCCCACTGTGGGGCCTGGTTCCTAGCAGACCATGGTCTGGGCCCGGTCTGCAGCATGGGGGTTGGGGACCCCTGACCCAGAAACACATGTTGAACAAGTAAATGCATGTGATCAGGCAGGCTCTGAGAGGGACTGTAATTTCTCTGTGTTAAAGTGCTATTGACCACATCTCAAGACTGCTCACTGTTATGTCTGTTTCTAGGTTAGGATGTTCATAGTTCTGTAAAATACAAGGCCAAACTGTATTTTCTTGATACAGTAATATAGTTAAATCAATCAGTAAAAAGGATGCATAATATCTTAATAGGAGAAATAATCATCATATCATCAAAGCATTTCAAAAATCAGAATACAGATACTCTTTAGTATATATTACAGAAAAGTTTTCAAAATACTTGATCAGAAGATTCCTTAATGGCTCTTGATCAATGCAGCATGAAGAAACTTTAGTGCAAATTTCACTAAATTTATCAAAATGGAGTTTTGTTCATTTTCGCTGCCAAGAAATGTTGTTACATCAACACTGAGCATGTAACAAATTGGTTTGACTGGATATTTAAAATCTATGAATATAAGCTGGCAAAAACTCAAACACATTTATCTTGAGATCTTTTCCCAGTCCAAATTCCTCTATGCTAAGGTTGGAGGACAGAATAAGAGTAAAACCAAAAAGTATCTGTATAAATAATAAAAACAATTTGGTATTTTTATAAGAAAGTTTTCCTTATTAAATATGGCACATTATCTCTCTTCTATGTTACTGCACAAATAGGAGCAGCAGTATTATTTTAGTTGCTGGAGTAGCACAGTGTTAAGAATATCTGCATCTTGTAGCGTCAGGCTTTCATCTGTTAGCTCTTTGTTTGGAAATGAAGTCACAAGAATAAAGTCAAGAGTTGCAAATTCAGGGCGGGACTGTACAATGAAGTCCCGAACATCCAGGATCCTGAAAAACAAGATAAAAATAATTTGTGATACAGAAGTTGTATGGCCATGAAAGCCTTTAGCTAAAATTAGATAATAAAAATTACACAGTTCTAACCCTTTTTAAAATGTATTGTAACTTTCTTTAATTAATACTATTTCAGTGGATAGACTTAGCTTTTTTTTTTTTTTAATCTTTGTTCAAGTAGTTTTCTCCCTTTTATTCCCATTACCACCCTCCCCCTAGTTTTTGTCCATGTGTTCTTTAAATTTGTTCCTGTAAACCCTACCCATTCTCCCCTGAAATTCCCTCTCCTCTCCCCTCTGGTCACTATCAGCCTGTCCTGTATTTCAGTGACTTTGGTTATATTTTGCTTGTTTCTTTGTTTTATTGTTTAGGTTCCTGTTAAAGGTGAGATTATATGGTATATGTCTTTCACTGCCTGGCTTATTTCGCTTAGCATAATGCTTTCCAGCTCAGATGGACTTAGCTTTAAGATAAAATGTGAGGAATAACTTTGGAGTATACGTAGTCTACTTTTACTGTAAAACAGAGACAATCTTCATGTGAGTTATGCACACAATGTCAACCATGGTTTTTTTTTTTTTAAGATTTTATTAATTTATTTTTAGAGAGGGGAAGGTAGGGAGAAAGAGAGGGAAACATCAATGTGCAGCTGTTTCTTGAGCGCCCCCTACTGGAGACCTGGCTTGCAACCCAGGCATGTGCTCTGAATAATGGGAAACAAACCGGCAACCCTGTGGTTGGCAGGCTGGCACTCAATCCACTGAGCCACACCAGCTAGGGTTCAACCATGTTGTTAACCATGAAAGTGCAGGTCCTAGTTTTTACAGAGTATAAAATATGTTAGCAGCATATGACCTAGAAAAAGCTACCTCAATTTGGCCTGTGTCAGAGTGAGTCTGAGACTATAAAAAGTGTAAGTCATAAGAATAATTTTCAAAAATTATTTTGACACAGGGCTGCCAGTCACGATGGTGGCATAGGTAAATGAAGTACTCAACTCCACCCACAACCACATCAAAATTACAACTAAACTAGCGAATAACCATCATTCAGAACTCTCTGAAATCTAGCTGAAGTTCTACAACTAAGGATATAAATAAGCCACACTGAGACTGGTAGGAGGAACCAACATGAAGATGCAGAGTTGGTTGGTCCCATACCCATGTGTGGCAGATAAAAATTGGGAGGAACATCTAGGCTGCAGAAGTCCCCCTGAGAATAATGGGTCCCAGCCCCACACAAGGCCCTGCAGCCCAGGGTTCCAGCGCCAGGAAGAGAGGTCCCCATAACTTCTGGCTATGCAAACCAGCAGGGATTGTGGCTAAGTGAGACAGAGGGTTCTGTAGTCCTAGGCATTCCTTCTAAAGGGCCCATGCATGGACTTACTTGGACTCAATTACTTGAGCTCCAGCACTGGGGCAACAGCTCAAAAGGTACCAGGGACACACAGGAAGGAACTGAATATCTAGCATCTGGGGGTGGGGCAGGAGGGGCAGCTTTTGCCCAGGCAGAAATGCTGGTAGAGGTCATTGTTCCTTTTCTGAATCCTCCTACACAGAGCTGGCAGGTGGGCACCATATCTGAGTCTCCATCAACCTGGCTAACACTGTTCCACTTGCCAGGGGGACTCCCTGAGACCCTGCCCCACCCAACTTATGGGCCCACCAAGCTGTTTCCAGTGCCTTTTCCATACAAATGGCCTGTCTTGGCTTATGATTCAGATGTTCCCCAAATCTCTAAAACAAGCAGCATCTGGTCTTGGCGTGCCCCATATCTCTTGCTAAGTGGCCCTAGGCCCAGCATGAGTGGCAGCCTGCCTTGGTTCACAGCACGGCCTTTCCCTGGTACCACCAAGCCCAGCACAAGTAGCAGACAACTGCAGATCACTTTGTGGCTCATGCCGGGTGTCCCAGGCAGAACACATGTGGTGGCTGACCTTGGCCTGCATACCCTTGGAGGACCCAGAGCCAGCGCACCCAGTGGACGGCTTCAAACCATATCAAAGCACTACCCAACTACCTCCACAAGTGATACACTCAAGAGGCAGACTCGGCAGACACCAGAGCCCTGCTGAAGTAAGTCTTGCTCTGTGGGATGATCCCCTGCACAGCTGATTCTGCATGGTGGTAGCTGCAGTCAGTCCTTGCAGCTGACTGGCCTGGGGGTAAATCCCTCCCACTGACATGCCAATGGCAATCAAGGCTCAATGACTAGAGCAGTAGGGTGTACACAGCTCACACGGGGGGTGGGGCCCACCTCAAGTAACTAACTTGGGTCATGGGGAGACTGTGCCACTGGACTCTATAGGACACCTACTATATAAGGCCACTCTTCGAAGACTGGGACATGTAAAAGTTCTACCTAATACACAGAAACAAACACAGAGAGGCTGCCAAAATGACGAGACAAAGAAACATGTACCAACTGAAAAAACAGATCAGAACTCCAGAAAAAGAACTGAACAAAATGGACACAAGCAATCTACTAGATACAGAGTTTAAAACACTGGTTATAAGGACGCTCAATGAACTTATGGGAAGAGTAGATGAACTTAGAGAGAACTTCATCAGCATAAAAATGACACGGAAACCATAAAAAAGAACCAGTCAGAAATGAAGGATACACTAACTGAAAAATAATAACGTACAGGGAATCAACAGTAGAATGGATGAAGGTGAAAATCAAATCAGTGATTTGGAATGTAAGGAAGCAAAAAATACCTGATCAGAACAGAAAAAAAAAAAAGAATCCAAAAACATGAGGATTGTGTAAGGAGCCTCTGGGACAACTTCAAGCGTACCAACAGTTGCACTATAGGGATGCTAGAAGGAGAAGAGAGAGAAAGAACTTGAAAACATATTTGAAAGAAAATGACAGAAAACTACTCTAACCTGGTGAAGGAAATAGACATACAAATCCAGGAAACACAGAGAGTCCCAAAAAGATGAACTCAAAGAGGCCCACACCAAGACACACTATAACTAAAATGCCAAAGGGTAAAGACAAAGAAAGAATCTTAAAAGCAGCAAGAGAAAATCAGTTACCTACAGGGGAGCTCCCATAAGTTTCTCAATAGGAACTTTGCAGGCCAGAAGGTACTGGCAAGAAATATCCAAAGTGATGAAAAGCAAGAAATGCAACAAAGATTACTCAGAAAAGCTATTATTTAGAAATGAAGGACTATAAAGAGCTTCCCAGACAACAAAAAGCTAAAAGAGTTCATACCAGTATTACATGAAATGTTAAAAGGAGGAAGAAGAAGGAGGAGGAGGAGAAGAGGGAGGAGGAGGAAGAGGATGAGGAGGAAGAGAAAGAGGAAGGGGAGGAGGAGGAGGAGGAGAAGGGAAGATGAAATATGAACAATAAAATGGCAATCTATCAACAATTGAATCTAAGAAACAAACAAACAGAACAGAAACAAACTCAGATACAGAGAACATTTTGACAGTTGCCACATGCAGGCGGGGATGGGTGAAAAAGGTGGAGGAGTTAAGAAATACAAATTGGTAGTTACAGAATAGTCAGGGACATCTAAAATACACCATAGGGAATACAGTCAACACTATGCTAATAAGTATGCATGGTGTCAGCTGGGTAAGAGATTTACCAAGATGAGCACTTATTAAGTTATATAATGTCTTATCACTGGGTTATACACCTGAAGCTAATACAATATTGTACATCAACTGCAACTGAAAAATTAAAATGATTTAAAGTAAAAAAGATTACTTTCACATATAGATAGCAACTTAACTAAGAACATAAATGTATCCCCCAGAGGGATGCAATGAACAAAAATATTAACACAAATATTGATATCCAAATAAATGTTAAAATGGCATTTATAACAGTTTATATGAAGTATTTGATAATAGCACAATTAAACTTTACACTACAAATTTATTATGAAGAATTTGCCATGTAAAAATTAATCCCGATTAGAATTACCATAAATTTTTATATGAGTAAAGTTCAAATAAGGTTTTATTATATTAAATTAAATCTGATTCCACTTCACGTGGTTTCGGCAACAGTGCAAAACTGTAGCTTTTAACTTTTTTCTTTATTTCTTTGGAGTGATACCTGGATTTGCATTAATATTTGGATGGTTTACAAAAGATATTTAATTACTAAGTATTTCACTTCTTACACAAAGCTATTACCCTTTTCAAGTTTTTCTTTCTTTTGTTAAAAACTTACTGCAAATCTAAAGAATTTAATATTCTGCATTACTTGTCATATACAATTTACATAAATAACCATGTGCCTGTCAGCTAACTAGAAGCTTACCTGTGTGTACTATTGAATCTTTGTATCAAACGACTCCCATCTACCAGCCTGATTTGAATCTTTGTTGTTGGCACTGAATCGTCAATAAGAACAACTGCATTAAGTATTGACTTCTCCTCCTCTTCTGGTGATGAAGGTGTACTGACAATTTCAGGTGTAAGACTATGAAAGAAGAATGCAAGAATTAGAACATAAATCCAAACAGAAGAAGTGGAATAACCACTTAGTCCTATACCTGACTCTCAAGCTATCCCCTTCCTCCATGGCTTCTGGACTAGCAAGAACATGGCTTCCTTTGTGTCTCCTACACTTCTTCCAACTTCTTTCATAATATTATACATTATTTTGGATCCTATGATTTTGATTTAGTTTTCCAATCTCTTTCAAAAGCCTATCTGTGTATTCATTCCTCCTTTTATCCCTTTGAAATTTCATGAAACTGTTTAACGAGCACCAACCTTTAGTCAGAAATCTGAGCAACTTAGAGTTAACATCAAATAATGGCTAAGAGCACAGACAGGCATTGCGTAAACTTAATCTCTTTGAATCACAGTTCTATCATTTATAAAATGGGGGAATGTTATGGTATGAAGGTATGTTACACAGGCATAACCCAAAGATATTGAGGCTTGGTTCCAGAACACCACAATGAGTGAATATCACAATAAAGCAAGTGGTAATCTTTTTGCTGGTAAAGGGGTTTGCCTTCAATTTGTCAAAAATGCAGCATCTCTGAAGCACAACGAGATGAGGTGCAATAAAACAAGTTATGCCTGTACCAGTAATCTTAGGACAGTGTATCAACAGGTGCCAGCTACTTTTGCACATATCATAAATTAACTTAATATGAAATAAAATGTTTTTAAAAGTTATGTTAACTTAATGTTTAGCCTTCAAAGTCTCATCTATTTGCCAATTAAAACTTTCTCTTTATCAAATAGTATAGGAAATGGAGAAGCCAGAGAACTTATATGTACGACCATGGACTTGAACTAAGGGGGGGGCGATGCTAGAAGGAGGAAGGGTGCAGGGTGGAGAGGAACAAAGGGCAGAAAAAAATGGGACGACTGTAATAGCATAATCAATAAAATATATTTAAAAAAACTTTCTTATCTTCCAATTAATCAAATGATAGTGACATTATTAATATATTGTTTGTATGTTTCAAGTATTACATTAAAAAGAAAAATTTTAAAAAGGGGAATAGTGAAGTTAATTGATAAAACAGGTTTCCAGGCAAATTGGAGGAAAGGATGTAGGTTGTAAGCATACTTATTCCCTTGAACAGGAGAAACGTCTTCCAGCTGAAAAGAAGATAAATTTAATAAAGTCAGAGGTTAAGGGGAATATATGAACAAAGTTAATTCTTATTGGGCTCTATTTTCTCAATAAAGCTGGAAGCGAAGACATGTGCTGTGGTGGAAGGGAGAGAACGGGAGGTTAGGGAAAGCAGGGACTATGTGGGAAGTTCTTTGACAATGGGAGAGGTGCCTGCCCAGCACCGGTGTGCAGTTGCCCCCAGCAGCACTGAACAGCACAGGGCCACACAAATCCCATGGCTGCACAGTATGGCAAGGGGGCTGCAGAACTGCTGGGTTAAGGAAATGTGGAAAAGGGAGGAAAGAAGAGGCTGGCTGTTAGATTTTAGAGAAAACAGCCCTCAGGGTCCAGAGAACAAGGTGAAGTCAAACTTCAGGTAGTGGCTGGAATGAGTGAGGGTAGCAAATGTAATATTTTGGATTGAACAGTGTGACAAACACGCAGTGATTATTAAGTAGAAAGAGAGATCTGCTTCACATCATGGTCTTCCACTTGTCCTGATCTGGCTCACTAAACTTATTTTTATTAAATAATACCATCTGTTCTACCACTGTAACTGTGCAGTTCTATATCTATGATTTATGCTCCTATTATATTACCTAAAGGTATTGGTTAATGTTTTCCTTTATGTTTAGGTTTAGCCCACAATTATCTGTATGTCACAATAAAAAATTAGGTTAGTTTTCATCGATGTAGTCTTCTGTTTGCAATTAGACTGCCAGCTGTAGAGGACAATAGAATTATTTCCATTTCTGGGCGTTTCTTTTTCCTGCTTCTTTTAAATTATTTTTCTTTTCAATAAATAGCTGCCTGGAACTATGGGGAAAAGAGCTACTTTAAAAAGTTACTATTGTAACTGTCAGAACTTTTATATTTCAACATACAATTATACGTTGGTACTCATTTATTGGGAACTGCCTTGCCTGGTTTCAGAGACCGTAACCCCTGTGACTAAGGCTGAGTAAAGGAAGTTGGGACCCAAAGCCATTAAGCAGACAAAGCTTATCTTCCTGGTAGGGGCATTGCCTCTGCCCGCTTTCACTTCACCCTGCTTGGCCCTGGGCAGATAGCTAGTTAGCCAATGATGGGTAAGACTCCTCAAAGGAGGGATGACCTAAGACATACATGGTCATGAAGGGGCCCTCAGGTAAGGACTTGGGGGGCTATAGAAAAAGGGGGTGATGGACCCTCACCCCTTGGCTTTCACACAGCCTGAATCCACACTCTGTCTGCAGTAAGTCTCCTAACCTCTTGGCTGCATTACTTTCACTGCCTGACTTAAGCCTGAAACAATGCTGGAGGTGTTATGCGGCCCTGTGCTGGAGAGAGCGGGTTCACTGGGGGATCAGGACTAAGAAAGAATGCATAAAATCCTGTGAAACCTGATTTGCTAATACCCTCAATTTAAATGATAAGGGTCCAAGCATGAAATGAGTTTGTTTCACCAAAGTTTTATGGCTCTTTAGCTAACTGACTCTCACTCAGAATAAGCCCTCGTAGTTCTTTGAATGTTATTTATTATTTGATCATTACTGACTGACAATGATTGATGAGATTTACCTGTATTCCTGTGCAATTTAAATCCAATAAAAGCCCATTGAGGAACAGGCTCCTGGCCCTTCTTTGAGAGATTGGTCACCTTTCCCCCATAAGCAGATCACGTCTTTTTTTTTATATATTTTATTGATTATGCTATTACAGTTGTCCCATTTTCTCCCCTTCACCCTCCTCCACCCTGTACGCCCTCTCCCACCCATATCCCCCCTTTAGTTCATGTCCATGTGTCATACTTATGAGTTCTTTAGCTTCTACATTTCCTATACTATTCTTACCCTCCCCCTATCTATTTTCAACCTACATTCTATGCTACTTATTCTCTGTACCTTTTCCCCCTCTCCTCCTCCCACTCCCCTGTTGCTAACCCTCCATGTGATCTCCATTTCTGTGGTTTTGTTCCTGTTCTAGTTGTTTGCTTAGTTTCTTTTGGTTTTGCTTTAGGTGTGGTTGTTCATAATTGTGAGTTTGCTGTCCTTTTACTATACATGTTTTTTCTTTATCTTCTTTTCTTAGATACGTCCCTTTAACATTTCATAAAATAAAGGCTTGGTGGTGATGAACTCCTTTAACTTGACCTTATCTGAGAAGCACTTTATCTGCCCTTCCATTCTAAATGACAGCTTTGCTGGATAGAGCATTCTGGGATGTAGGTCCTTGTCTTTCGTGACTTGGAATATTTCTTTCCAGCCCCTTCTTGCCTGTAAGGTCTCTTTTGAGAAATCAGCTGACAGTCTGATGGGAACTCCTTTGTAGGTGACTGTCCCCTTATCTCTTGCTGCTTCTAGGATTCTCTCCTTCATTTTTACCTTGGCTAATGTAATTATGATGTGCCTTAGTGTGTTTCTTCTTGGGTCCAACTTCTTTGGGGCTCTCTGTGCTTCCTGGATTTCTTTGAAGTCTATTCCCTTTGCAAGATTGGGGAAGTTCTCCTTTATTATTTGTACAAATAACTTTTCCACTTGTTGTTCTTTCTCTTCTCCTTCTGGCACCCCTATAATTTGGATGTTGGAACGTTTAAAGATGTCCTGGAGGCTCCTAAGCTTCTCCTCGTTATTTTGAATTCTTATTTCTTCATGTTTTCCTGCTTTGTTGTTTTTTGCTCCCTTCTGGTCCACTCTATTGTTTTGAGTCCCAGTTTCCTTCCCATCACTATTGGCTCTCCGTGCATCTTCCTTCATCTCTTTTATGGTAATCTGCATTTTTTCATCTAATTTGTGCCCCAAATCAACCAATTCTGTGAGCTTCCTGATCACCAGTGTTTTGAACTGTGCATCTGATAGATTGGCTATTTCTTGGTCGCTCAAAAGGATGAGTTCTGGGGGACTGATCTGTTCTTCTGTTGGAGACATGTCTCTCTCTGTCTCTCCTTTTTTTCCCGTCTGGTCGCTCTTGTTACGGTGAGGGGTGGAGCCTTAGGAGTTTACCTGGGCTGGGCACCCCAGTCGCTAGATTGTGACGTTGTATGTGGGGACGGGTGCGGGGCTGGGAGGGAACAATGGCAGTAGTTCCGTTCTCCTGGGATCACAGTCCCTTCTCTGGGATCCTGGGTTGCACGCTCTGCCCTGGTCCACAATCGCTGCTTCACCGGGTCCGCCAGCTGCTGCTTGCGTACTCAGGGTCCACCGCTGCGATCTTGCATGTCCCGGATGGCTTACGCGCCGAGTTCGAGCCGAGTTCTCCCTGATCACCACGCACTGCTGCCGACCTGCGCCGCCCCGCTCCGCCCCTCCTACTGGTCTGGATGAACAGGTCTACTTCAACTTCTTGGCTGTCCGACTTCCATTCAGATAAATTCTCTATCAGTTCTGGGTGTTATTCTGGCTGTAAATTGTTGTTGTTCTAATCTTGGTTGTGCGTGGAGGTACGGTGTGTCCACCTATGCCTCCATCTTGTCGGAAGTCCGCAGATCAAGTCTTGGTAGACTTATTCTTATCTGTGGCGGCCTTCAACTTCCACAATAGAGTGGACCAGAAGGGAGCAAAATACAACAAACAACAACCCCTGGAACCCCACTCACTCATCAAGCCCTATACTCACCACATTTTGACAACAACAAAAAAAATGTGTTGGCACCTGGTACTTGCTTGGGACTTGTTGCACTTGCTAGAACTTGTATGAGTTACACTGTCGCCCGACAAGAGAAAATGCTTTATCACTTGTCACTTGTTCAGTACTCGTCGGTTTTGGCCCTTGTTACAACTTCCAGAATGAATTAACAATAAATACTGAGGTACCAATGAATTTCTTAATGTACAGTCTTCAACACTTTCTATGCAATTCTTTGCTTTCTTGCAATATACACATATATTCAATTATTCAGTATTTGGATTCATGTGCATCATACAGGCTCACAATACTACGCTAAATTTCCTACACATGAAAAGCTGAAAATTCTAAAGGCTACATTTCTCAGATTCCTCTGCAGCTAGGATGTTATACAATTCCACCTTTACTGAGCAAACCAATGGTGAAAGTAAGCACTTGAAGTGGAGGCTATGCGACACTTCTTGTTACCAAGGTGCTGCAGGCATTTCATTCTTCTAGAGCAACCATGATGGAATGTTTTAGTGTCTGGTCCCTAGATTCATGAGCACTGAGCAAACTGATGGGGAGGTGTTTTCTGTACAAAGTTCCCTGTTGGCTTATTTCTGACTAACGAATGCTTGGTTTGCTATTTCTTTCAGAAATTCTACAAACTCTCCGAGGCTCTGTAAGAAGCACTTCACTATTTAATATAGCAACTAGATTTTGTTTTCTGCAATCAAAAATCCTGACCAGTATGGTTAATGGTTATTGCAGCATTACCATCTCTAATCTTTGTCATTCTCCCCCATCATTTTCTCCTTTTTTGGTCATTTTTTTCTAGCTATCTACATAATAAGAAAAAGGCTGGCCTTTGTAAGATACTATAACCACATAATATCCTAATTTTCATTAGTGAAAATTACTGGTTATAATCAGCTAACTTTCCTTCAGCTAACTTCTTCAAATCTAGGTTTATTGTACTTCTACTAACAAAAGACATGCATTCTAACTTTAATTCTTGGTCATGAATTTATATAATAGAAAAAGAATATGTACAAAGCAAAGAGATGACTGGGCATTTACCTATATTCTAATTAAAATAATAATCTCAATAAATATTAAGTAAAAATGAGAAGTGCTAGAAAGTACTTTAAAAATATATCTGTGGGTCAGAGTTATAAAAACAAAAGGAGAGAAGAAAGAAAACAATTCAGGAGAAGTCTGACCTGTGTTGGTAGTAAAGATAGATGAGGAAGACCTGGGACCAGGCACTGAAGGACTTGGGTGCCAAAAAAAGCCAGGTTAATACATGTTCCTGAATTTCCTAAATGTCTCAGAAATCAGCCTCTAAAAGCAGAAAAGGATACAGAAATGGGGGCCTGAGATATGAAAGACAGGAATTAAGAACCAATATTGTGTGGGGAATAGAGAACCAGGATGCATAAGGCAACTGAAAAGACCTTGGAAGGGAAGGACTCAGATGAGGAGAAATGAAACATGTACAAAAGGGTACACTGGACACATGGCCAATGCCACAATTCCAGGGTCACCTGTAGTGATATATGGATAAATAGAGGGCAACTTTTACCAACTTATTTTACAAAGTTTATGCAGAGTCTTTTAGGCCAGGTGTCATAAAGGATTCCACTTGTATATTATACTATGCACACTGATTTTTAACCTGTGATTGTCAAAGCCCTAGGGATTCTTTGGAAATGTCTCAAAAGATAATTCCTTCTTCTCCTGCAACCAGAGAAGCTCAGGTTTTATATGTGTTTTATATCTTGGGCTCCCACAACTTGAGTAAAAGTTTGGCCACTTAAAATATATTGAAAACAACCAACTTAAATACATTGCTCTAGCTACAAGAGCTTAATGGGAGACAGGCATGCTTAAAGCTATCATCTAAGTTATCTATTGTTTTATCTAATCAATAACCCTTACAATATCCCTCTTTGAACCCAGGTAATCAGAAAGAGGCAGGGTGGCATAATGGTAAAAGCAGACTCTAGAGCCAGAGTGCCTGGTTTGAATCCCACATACTAATCACTTCACAGCTCAATCAATGTGGGCAAAATACTGCATTTGCAAATGAAATAATAGGATCAGCATGTGAAGAGCTGTTATGAAGACTTAGTTAATGTATGTAAAGTGCTTAGAGGGCCAGGCCCATGATAATTGCTATCTATTAGCAACTAATCACCAAATCTGCATATCTGATTCTATCAGCAAAGTCTTAGTTTTCACTTTCTAGGTTATTTTGATTTTTTTTTAATCCTCAAAAGAAATTCATGTTGAACAAAGACAAGTCTTTTTCTCATTTTAGAATTGTACCTTCCAAGTTTTTGTCCTTCTCCACTAAAAGCCTTGAACCTCCATCTGGGTTTGATATATTCTTGATCCTGATGGTCCTCCATGTCCAAGTTCACTTGGCCACCATGAACCAGTCGCTGAAGCTCTGGAGGAATTTCTCTTAAAAAGGAGAAAGAGGGTTTTAGTTAACTTTTGAAAAAAATGAATCAAATTGTGAGCTATACTGGAAAACCACACTTTTTTATAACACAAAAATCTCTGTGATGATTGGTTAGATATTTACCTACAAATATTTCATAGATTTTTCCTTAGTGATTCTCAACAAGGGTTTTTTTTTTGTCGTCATAGTCATCTTGGAGTGGTTCTGACAAATTGTGAGACAGCAGTTCTTACCTAAATTAACACTAGAAAACTCCTGTGAGGACATACAGTTAATGTAGATATTTCTTTCTAAACTCCCTGAAGGAAGTTTGCAAAATGATAGGGATATTTTTTATTATTGTATGATTCCTGAGAGCTGCTGTTCAGTCAGGGCGGGGACGAAAGATGTTCTGGCATGGGGGAATTGTCTTGCACAATTAAGACTTGTCTCAAGTTCCACTGACCCGCTGAATGCTCTGTCAGAGAGTCATACGATGCCAACACTATGTGTGAGCCTAAAACCTAAGGCTTAGGCTCTGTCTTACCTATAAGCAAAAACTCAAAAACTGGGTTTTTGGGGGTACTGTATTAATATGCTTTGAAATTTCTATCTTCCATATAAACTGAGGGAAGATTACAACTTGTTTTATTTAGAACTGGACCAAGTCCATGACTGCGATGCCACTTATAGTAATGAACTTGCCAACTTCACATACCTTATTATTCTGTTTTTAGGTCTTTCACAGTTATATGAGAGTGCTAGACTGTACACAGGTGCAAACTATCTGACTGCTTTGTTGTATCTTCTGGTGTGGTCATGTCCAGGCATTTAGAAATTGAAATAGTTATACTTTTATGGTAAATTACTTTCTTTTATTCCCTGAATATTTTAAAGATATAATTTACATTATTTTTTGAAATGATATATATAGATAGATGATTTTTTTAAAAAGATTTTATTTAAGGAAGGGAGGAAGAGAAACATCAATGTGTGGTTGCTTCTCGCATGCCCCCTACCAGGGACCTGGCCTGCAACCCAGGGATGTGCCCTGGCTGGGAACTGAACCAGCAACCCTTTGGTTCATAGGCCTGTGCTCAATCCACTGAGCTATACTAGCTGGGCAGATGATATTATTTTTGAGTGCTCCTTTGATGATGATAGAGATGGTGTTACAAAATATTTGTTATTAAAAGGGAATAATGACTACCCAGTAGATAATCATTATCTGACATCATTCATTGTTTTCAAGGAGTCTCTTTCAAAACTGTTCTTAATCATAATTTGCACTTGAGGACATGATGTGGTTTAAATTATAAAAAAAATTAGTATACCATGATTGTGTGAACAGTAGCCTACAAAGTTCAGGGATTATTTTCATTTAATACATTAGTTTTGATCTACAGTATAGTACATTCACCATCAATGTTTTCTTCCACCATCTTGAAATAAGCATCAATTTTAACAGTATTATTGTTCTTCACTTAGCAGATGAACACTTTGCCTACTCAGTCACTCCCAGTCTTCCCAGCGATTCTGCAGGGTTCCATGTCCATAGCATTGACTTAAACTATTATATCCTTGTATTTATCACTCACCATATACTTCCCTGCACCCAGGACAGCATCCCTTCTCAATGACTTCAGCATATCGTTAATAGCATCTCCTGTGTTATTTTTTGTTTTGTCTTTGTATCCTGATATTATCTTTGTAGAATTCAAGTTGACAATTCATGCTAATTTGTGTTCTAAAATACCTTTCCTTCGAAGTTCCTTCACTATTTCAACTCCAGTAAGTTTTATCTTCATTCCACTGAAGCCACTCTCCTCGGACCTATTTCATTACTTGGATGGGTGGAGAAGCCCCTCCTTCAGTTCCTGGGTGGAGTAGAACCTCCGACGCCAGGCCCTTCACTGCTACTTAAATCTCCCAGTTCCTCACCAATATCTCAGCAAAATATCTTATCCTTCAGAAACAAGAGCTAGTGAGTTATGATGATCTTTAGATGGGTCAGAGTACTGTATATCCAGTTTACTTTCATAAATTTTAACTTCAAACTAACCTTTTGAAATCTTCTGCGAGGAGTAATGCCACTTTAAAAGATTTCTAATATAAGCTGCTGAGTTTCAGGCATACATGCAATGAGAGTCACCCTGTCAACAGTAAGCAGGACAGTGGCTTAGTGGATGGGCAGCTACATGCTAATCAATCACTGACTTATCATATTGAGATGCTTCTTCTTAGAGTTGGGAGCATAGCTTCATCAGACTTTTAAAGGGACCAAAGTCTTACTGCCTCCCCACCCCTCAGAGTTAAAAGCCAGCAATATATCCTTTATCTACTTAAAAAGACCCTTCCCCAGGAACTACTCACATAATATAACTCTTAACCAGTAGTGCCCTAGTGAACAGCATTTTGCTAAAAAAAAAAAAAAAATTCTACTCTAAGTAACAAATAGAACACAAACAATAAGGCTTACCCTCTTTTAACAGACTCCAGAAATTGAGCATTTGTTGGGTCATTGTAAGGTCTCAATTCTCCATCATCTAAACTGAACCCATTGCTCCACAATTTAAGCAAAACCTGAACCTTTTGAGCAAAGGAAAAAAAATATAAAGTAATTAAAAAATCCATCGGCATCAAACAATTTTAACTTTCAAATGTGGTATTTCTCAAAATATTAAATCACTTACTTAATTTAAAATATGGAGTTATTTACACTATTCTTTATCCACAGTAAAAGTAAAGACATAAATGAAACGATGTGTGTTTGCTAAACCGATTTGTATTTAGCTTAACAAACAGACAATGGCTGAAATAATGAAGATCCCACAGGTCCTATACCTGGACTCTGGCCTTGAAGTAAAATTATTTCTAGTTCATTGAGAAAAGGAAAGCAATAAGAGCATCTAGTTGCTACTCCACACCCATCCTTCTCTTTCTGTGCCCAATTTTCTGGTACAGAGCTTACATATTCATTCCAAGAGGCAAGAGAGAATTTCTAGTGACCCTCCAAGGCTAACCTACACATTTGAAATGAAGTTATAACTACAAAATTTCACAAGGTAATAGAAATAATGACTTAAGGTGTTGTTATCTTTATAACTTAGCTCACTCTATATTATGACAGTATGCCATTTATAGTAATTATCATATATACATAAGCTCATTTTACTGAATCATATATTCTTTCAACAAATAGTTATATGTCTAATTTTGTATGGCACATTTGGGATACAAAAGAAAATTTGAGACTGAGCACATACACATTAACATTTTAATCCATGTTTCACAAATTAAGAAAACAAAAAGATATTTCTATAAACAATTTTTTATTTTAAAACAAACAGTAGTAACTAGAGGCCAGTATCTGTAATTTCTCATTTGGATTACTGTACCTACATCTTGCAGCTGGCTTTCTCCATAGATGTACTCAGACTGCTCACAAAAGGAATTACCCAACCTGTACCCTCCACCTGTAAAAGACTAAAATACACAGTGAGTAAGCCAAAAATTCACTAAGGCTTATTAAGCAAAATCTTACAATAATGTGTGATATATATTTTAAAACTAGATAAAACTGTAATTAGTCAAACTGGTTTGTAATTTCGAGGAAAATGTTATAATAAAATTAAAGTCTTATGTTACAGAGAATGTATTAAAATAAGAAATTATGTTTCTTTCCATAAAAACATTAGTAATTTAGGAGCAGAAATAACTTAAGCCAGTCTTAAACTAAAAAACACATATATACACTGAAATATAAAATTTGAAGTATAAACAGATTTTTAAAAGCCATCCTAGTATTTTATGACAAGTCCTTTAATAAAAACTATAATGTTTAAATCATATTTCACAAAGTAAGAGAATCATAAAGAAAAAATTTTATAAGCGGGTATAAATTACCCTGAAGAAAAGCTCTATACTTATTTTACATGTTGCTTTTTATTCAACTTTAACAAGTCAACTATGACTGTGCTTTTTATTTTGCTACACTGACCACAAGGTCTTCTGTTTTTCAAGAAGGATAGCTTATGAGGTTAAAATCTCCATTCCTTTTAACCACCATTTATATCATAAATGAGCTTTTAATTATCAGATTGGTTTCTTTTCTATACACTAAATTATACCAATTTCACATTTTTATTACAGAATTAGAGAATTTTCAAGAACCAAAATTACCTTAGATTTCACTAAAAAAGAAAATTCAAGCTATTGGTAAATAACAAAAACTAAAAATTTATTTTTCATTTAAAATAGTGTCTCTCAACAGCGATGTTTGCCAACGACACACGTCCATCCAAGCACAGGGGAAGCTACTGATCTGTAGTATCTGAGACGATGCGGTAGTTTAGAAAATACCCCAAACGATTTGACAGGGAAAATCAGGTGGAGAAATGTTAACTATGAAGACATATGATAATTAACACATAGAAATATACTACAAGTTGTCTTTAATATACCAATACTGTGTCTATAGTTTTGCAGAAATTGAAGAAGGTACAAAAATAATCCAATGAAGGAAAAAGAGTCTTTTCAATAATGGTAGAGCAACTGGTCCTTCACTATGTCAAAATATAAACCTTGACTTAAACTTTATGTAAAATTAACTCAAAATAGGTCACACGTTTAAATGGAAAATGTAAAGCTATGGAATTTCTCTAGATAACACAGAGAAAATTTTCTGGCCTAATATTAAGTTAGGAGTTCTTAGACAAGACACTAAAAGCATAACCTATTAAAAAAAAGATAAATTGGACTTTACCAAAACCTTTGCTCTATGAAAAATCCTGGTAAGAGAATGAAAAGACAAGCTATAGTCTAGGAGGAAATATATGCAAAAAATACATCTTATAAAGAATCCACATCTATTAAAATAAATAACTCATTTTGTTTGTAACAAAACAATCCAATTTGAAAATGGGCCACAGTCATGAAGAGACACTTTACTAACGAGGATAATAAAGCTAGTGGCAAATAAGCACATGAAGCGATATTCAACATACAACTGTTAGGAAAATGCAAGTAACATTAGCCATTAGGGTAAAGGGGGAAATGTGTAAAAGGCACACAGGACCTTTTGTGTACATTTTGTAAATTCCCATGAGTCTGTAATTATTTCAAAATAAAAACACAAGTAGAGATTTACATAAAAATGTAAGAAACTGCCTCAACTTTCAATCATTAATAGAAAGATTATAATCACATGAAAAGGAATCAAATATTTAAGAGAGAACTATATAGTTAGAAAAAAAGAATGTTCCATAATATAAAAAACTATACAGGACATCAAAAATATAAATAGCATACTTAGTTTTAAAATTGAGCATTACCTTAGATTTGTCATCACCTGAAGCTCTTGTGGCTTCATTCAGAGGGACAGCCCCATGTTCCCTTGCCTCTTTGAAAAGTTCATTCACAATTTTCCCAGTTGAAGGTCGAGCTATATGTAACCCACTGTATTCATGCTCACTTGAATAGAACCTTTAAATATCACAGTTCATGAATAAAAACTTAGAATACAAACAAACTATTTTAAAGTAAAAAGCTACACAGTCTTAGAACAAAATTTTTATTTAAAAGGAAAAATGTATATGCCGTCTGTGGAAATACTTAATTTTAAAATGTAGGATTAAAGAATTAAATAGTGAACAGTTCATATAGTTTCTCATGGAGTGTGTGGAGATTTTTGTAGCAAGCTCAGCATGTGGTGTGAGAACCTGCTTGTTTTTCCTCCCTCATGCTGGGCAATGGTTATCAAATGCATGTTTGGTGTGCGGGGAAGAAGTGCTGACCATCAGAAGCTAAATCTTTTCCCTGAGGAATCCACACTCAGTACAGACTTAGTTAGTGAAGGGACCTCTAGATTCAAACAGTGTGAACACTTAAATCTAGACCACAGGGCTACACATAGACGGTGTACTTAATTTTTTGGATTGAAAAATTATAACCTCCTGTGTTAAAGGTAAATAATTTAGACCATAAACAAGTTTTTTTTCGGTGTATAAACTAGTATGTTGAAACTGATTTATACTCTCACTCCAACTTCAGAACATAAGAATTTCCTTTACATTATTGTCCTATTTTATCTTTCAAGATTTTTTCAATCAAGGATAACAGAAAATGAACTAATGAAATATTAATACAACCAATGAGACACTTCTAGTGTAAGATGACACTCATGTTTTCACCACCTACCCAATCCCTCCAAACCAGTTTCAAATTTGCACTGAACCAACTCACAAAACGAAAGGAGGGGGGCAAATTAAATCAGCACTGGAGACTAAGAATAGAGGTTGCCTTCAATACTTTCCCCAAAATTAGTATGTGCAAAACTGAACAGAAAGAGGGAAGGGCAAACCAGCTCTCAGTTCACTACAAGAAAAAAGTCTACCTGGAGAACAAGTAGACACCAGCAAGCACAATCCACTACAGAAGCTAACATAAGGCTGGATCACACCAGCTGAGGGTGGGACTGCGAGTGGAGGTGGGTTTGCCTGTCCGGCTAGAGCTCTGGGGAATACACTGGGGCCCCTGGTTACCCAGAGCCAATGGAAGCCTTCCTGCCAAGCCTATACTCAAGAGAGTCCATATGCTGCCGTAGCTGGCTCTTTTTTCTCTTCTCTTAATTTTTAAATTACTATTTATATTCAATATTATTTTGTATTAGTTTCAGGTGTACAGCACAGTGGTTAGACAGTCCATATACTGTACAAAGTGATCTTCCATATTTCAAGTACCCACCTGGCACCATACATAGCTGGCTCTTAAGATAAGTGTTAGTATTAGGAGCTGGACAGCAGACGATTTTAGGTAGCTAAGGGGAAGGAAGAGAAAGGGAAAGAAAATGATAAAGGAAGGAAGGGGACGGAGAAAAAAGAAAGAGAAGAGGAAAGAAAAAAGAAAAGAAAGGAAAAGCAAGGCTTCCGGATATAGCTATCTCCTGCTGCAGGTCCTTCGCTCCCTACCACACCTCTCATCTGGGAAGTACAAGTACTGTATGTAGCTCCTTTTTATCACTGTCTTGGAGAAAGACTTTACTGGAGAATCAGACGTTGGAAAAAGACTTACTAGCTCCTTTATGGTTAATTCTTTTTATTACCTGTTTAAGAAATCTTTGCCTACCTCAAAGTCATGAAGACATTAAGTTTTGTTTTCCTTTTATATTTAGATCCACAATCTATCCATCTTTCCTCTTTCAAAATTAAGTATGACTATATCCTTGACCCTTGTTCTGTTTAAACTCATCTGATCATCAAAATATTTGTCCACTCCCATAAATAACAACATCTTCTATAAAGATGACTCTCAAATGTTTTCAGTACCCTCTTACTTACGGTACAGTGATAAATTTAAAAGCTCCCTACTTGAATCAAGTTCATTTCTCCCAAACTAAACTTATGTTGCATATTTTCTTCCATTTTCAATATTAAAATGGCCACACATAAATCTTCCCATTAATAATCACATTTTTCCTGTATCTCAGAAATACTCTCAGAATATAGGAAAAAAAGACTCTCAGAAATCTTTAAAGACTTTTGTCTTTACCATTCACTTATTCCCTATATCCCATGTCATCCAGTTTCAACATGGTTCTTTTGAAGGTATCCTATATGGATTTCAGCCTTTCTCCTTCATTCTACTGACTCCACCCAAATCCAAAATTTTTACATTCCTTAGATTACCACAGTTGCTTTCCTTGTGATTTGTCTCCTTATCCTGTTCTCCCATTACTATTAATGTTATATTGTATTTCTTTAAAAGTATATAATAATAGCTAACATTTGTCAAGGTAATTTGTGCTCTTTTATTCCTCAACAATGATACTCTCCCCATTTTATGAATAGGGAAACTGAAGCTTATGGAAGCTATGGAATTTAAAATACTTTTTCACTGGCAAAACATAGAAAAAAATTATAACTGACGGTAACAGCAAAACATGAACCCAGCCTGGTCCATTCTCAGCATGAGCTGTGTGTCAGCGCATATCACACGTCTACGAGGCGTGCGGTGGAAGCATGCCCCCTGTCCCACCTTATTTGCCACTAGTCTATTAAAGTCCTGCTGGGTCCTTTTCAAGGCCCTTCCTGTCACTGTCATTAATTTTTTCCTTTGTGCCTATGTGTTGCTGGAATTTTGTCTCGTCTTCTGTGCTAATCAATATCCTAATAATTTTTAAGACCCAACTAAGTACCAACACTCTGCTAAACAACTTAAACACTTTATCTAATTTAATTCTCATGCCAATACTCTAATCTAATTACTTGTAGAGGACATTTTTTTAAGTTCTCACATTTTTGAAGAAAGATATTCAAATTATCTTTAAAGTTCTACATGTGATATATACTCTTTTGTGGATAAATGTGTTACAACAGGTGTCAGGATATATTCTGAAAGTGTTTCTGTAAATTCTGTTCTTCCTCTTGCAAACACAGACCACATTATGTCAAGTAATTACTGTTCAGACAGTAAAAATATATTAGCTTAAATGACAATAAACAGATACATGTCTTGATATCTAATAATGTCTAAAAATGTAGAATATGGAAATGAGCACTATTTTCTGTACTAAACGAAGCGGTAGGCATATAGTTAAACTGAGGAAATGTCAATATTGAATATGAACTCAAAAGAACTGTATACTTAGTATTAAAAATATACTTAGCAAAAAAGAAAATATTGCTAATAATGTGTTTCACATTGTATTTTAAGCAGATTAAACATAGCTTAAGCCTCAACCAATATTTAAGGCAGCTCCTCCTTTTGGATATGTAAATAATCCTAGACATCAAATCTGAGGCATGCTGTCCTTAAAAACTGCATTATCAAATTACTATGACTAATAACAACATTCTTTCAGATAGCCTATCCAAACATGTGTAGCACACAAGAGAAAAGAACATTCATTAAAATGTCTTAATGATTATACATGAACGGTAAAGAAAATATTTATATACTAATCTTATAAGTCAAGTATTTTGATTTATTACATAGTGAATGAGTTAAGTCACTCAAAATATACCCACATTGGGAAAACAATGGGCAAAGAGTTAAAGAATAAAACTTTTGTACATAAATATTTTAAGTATTTTCAAAACTTTGGAGAATGTATAAACTAAGGAAGCAATTAAAATATATAATATACAAATATATGTATACATCTTGTATGTATATAGACACATACATGTCAAATAAGAATTAAATGAAAGGTAGGATATTCAAATAGTGCCAAGATACCAACCTACATATTACAAAGGAAAAGCTGTACCTTACAATGAAGTGATGTGGTGGTCAGCACCTTAACCAAGTGAACTGAAATTATCTGGCTCTTTATGTGATATAATAAATACCAGACAATATGACTTACTAGTATTCTGGACAAACATGTTAAACAAGAATCTAATCATGAGAAAACAGTAACTTTGAATGCGGGACATTATATAATACATCTGGCCTAGACTCTTCAAAAAAGTCAATGTATTGGGTTGTCCAAAAGGTCCATATAGTTTTTTCCATAAAATAAAAGACACATCTTTCATTTTTACCAACAATTTTATTGATTTGGACATTTTGAGTATGTCTGCTGTCTCCTGCTATTGGCTTCCAGTGGGTAGAGGCCAGGGGTGCTGCTAAACATCTTCTAGTATGTAAGACAGCCTAACAGCAACGAACTATTTGGCCAAAATGTCAGTAGTACCAAGAATCTTCGCAAACCACTTTTGACACATTTGATCAGTCACAGAACCTACTACATATCCTGCACAAATCTTTTTTTTTGCATTTCAGTTGTGTTTTTACCTTTCTTAAAATAATAAAGCATAATATGCCGGAAATGTTGCATATTTTCTTCCATCTTCAATATTAAAATAGCCATACAAAAATTCACCAATTTTAGTATTTTTTAAAAAATGCTGTCACAATACAATCTAAGAAAATTGTTTTGAATGCAGTTAAAGACAACTAACTGTTACTAGAGCCATTGGACACAAAGTATATAGACACATACATGTCAAATAAGAATTAAATGAAAGGTAGGATATTCAAATAGTGCCAAGATAATATGCCGATAATATGTACAGAAAAGACTATATGAACTTTCTGGCCAACCCTATAAATTTTAGATTATACAGATAAGCTTAAAAAAAAACAACAAGCCCTGGCTGGCGTGGCTCAGTGGATTGAGTGCGGGCTGCGAACCAAAGCATCGCAGATTCGATTCCCAGTCAGGGCACGTGCCTGGGTTGCAGGCCACAGACCCCAGCAACCGCACATTGATGCACATTGATGTTTCTCTCTCTCCCTATCTCCCTCCCTTCCCTCTCTAAAAATAAATAAATAAAATCTAAAAAAAAAGAGAAAACAACAAAACGGTGGGGAGGATGACTCATTCAGATTCAAAACAAGCATAATCAAATGGAATGCACAGCTCTTGGCTCTAAGAGGTGTCTGACAGCGGGTTGTTCAGTGATTTAGTGAAATTACTGTTCGCTGCCTAAGGTATGATATGTGATCAAGGTTATGAAGGAGTGTGTGCTTCTCATAAGAGGATGCACACTGAGGTGTGTAGGGGCGAGTGTAACACCGGCTGCAATTTACTCTCAAACAGCTGAGTAAGATAGCGCTTGTGTGAGTGTAGTGCCAAGACATGTTAACCACCGATGAAGCACACAGAGCATATGCTCACGGTACAATGTTTTAATTATCTTATGGGTTTGAAAATTTGTAAAATAAAAAGTTGGGGGAAAATTTTAAATATTATCCTTTCTTCTCATTCAGGTCCGGAAAGAGATGTCATTTTTAGCTTCCCCACAGAAAGAACGATGCAGAGTAGCAACAACAACAAACAAACAAAAGGAAAAGATGAAACAGTTTCAGTGAATATTTTAGCTACTGGTAAAATTACAGACTTTCTGACACTGAGATATAATGAGAAAATTCAAGTGTCTCCCCAGTAATGATATCTGCAGTACTAAAAAAATGATAATAAAGATTCCTAGAAAGACGAAAACTTGTGGCAATATAATGTACCTGACTTTCATCTCTTAAATCTTCACGGTTGGTTCTTTTTATAGTTCAGGGATTTTAGCAATAGTAAATACTATCTAGAAGTTCACTTATAGATGGATATTCATCCAAGAGAAGCGAAGACAGATTCCTGAAGTTATAGATTTTTAAATGGAGAACAATAAACACATAAGGGACTCAATGGATGGGCTTTAAAATTTTTTTTATTTACTGATTTTAAGGAGAGAGAACAGGGAAAGAGATAGGTAGAAAGAAAGAAACATTAATTTGTTCCAGTTATTTATGCATTCATTGGTTGATTCTTGTACGTGCCCTGACTGGGGATCAAACCTGTGACCTTGGTATCTAGGGATGATGCTCTAACCAACTGAGCTACCCAGCCAGGGCTGGATAGTCTTTAAGAAACACAGAAACACTTAAAAATAATTGACAAAATTGTCCATAAATATTTTGAGAGGAGAGGAGCTATAGCTTTCATTAGATCCTCAATGAGTCCTATGTCTCCACACAGAATCACAATTCTATGTTGTATGTATTTAAGATTATGTTTCCATAAGTTTCTTCCAGCTTTCTGAATATTACAGTTTTAGAAACAGTACCTAAATAATATTTATTTTCACAAATTACAGATTGAAAAAAATGTCCAAGGCCATTTAAAGTAATTTGGGATTAGAAAACTAAAAAGGGATACAATTATTTTCCTTTTAATTTTTATTGTATTTTTTCCATTACCATTTAATCCCCTTATATACCCTACCACCCCTGAGATCACCACACTATCCATGTCCATGAGTTTTTTTTCCTTTTTGCTCGATCCAGAAAAAACTTACCGTTGAGGTGGTGTTCGTGGGCTTTTAAAGACTGAAGCTTTAGGTCTATCAGATTTGGAAGATTTGCATTTCACTTCATCCTCACACAATTCTGCCAAGGCCAACTATAAAATGACAGACCCATTATTCAGTGTAACACCAGAAATAAACTCTTCTATATGAGAAATTGTGAGTAGAACATTAACTTGTAATTGCATAATAAAGGTTTCTAATGAAACATGAAGGCTGCTGCATCAGATGATGAATCCCTTTCAAAACAAAACCATCACATCCCTCATTTTATAAAACAAAATGCCACATATATTAGGATAAATTAAAGTTACAATAATTATTTAGTTATTTTCAAATAATTATTTCAACAGTCCAAAAACTGTGTTCAGTAACAGATCATTTTTAAAGTTGAACCTACAATTCTGCAATTCTTTCAAAACCACTTGAGGATGTTTCAAAACTTGCTTTCATCAGATCTCAAAAATTATTTTATTTAGCTGTTCAACTTTTCAAAATCCAAACACATAAAATAATTTAAAAATTTTTCTATTTAGAAGTCTACCAGACATACGCAAGGGGGACCCAAAAATAACTGGAATTATCTTCTGGAGAGTGGGTCCATTGTAGGACAGGCTTCCCCCACTAGGAGAGTGTTCTAGAAACCCATCTGTATCAGTGTATCAACTGGCAATTCTGGGAGGCTGAGTTCAGCTTCGGTAAATTGTTTCGGAATTCTCATTGTGTCTGCCAATTTTACAATGGGTGATTTACCATTGCACCTGCCCACGCCTAGCAGTTTTGACCCAAAAATGGCATAACCCCCATACCCCACCCTCCCTATTCACCTGATCTTGCCCCAGGGATTCTTTTTTTGTTTCCCCAGATGAAAAAAGTCCTTAAAGGGAGTGAGTTTTGTTGATGTGGTAGAGATGAAAGAAAAAATGGCAGGAGCACTAAAAGGCATTTTCTCAAGAGGTGTATTACATCAAATGGAGTGTACTTTTGCAGGTTTGATGTTTAAACATGTAAGAATATATACACAATTTTTATAAATAAATTCCATTTTGGGGGGGCTCCTCCCTTGTAACTTTCGTAAAGTTTAGGAAAACGAGCCTCTGAAAACTGAAAGACAATGAATTACATATACAGATTGTACAACTTTTAGAAAGTAATACTACCAAATTATGCATTATAGATATGTGAATGGTTATCTTCAAAACTAAATAAACAAACATAATTCTTAAAATTGGAATCTAAAAAGTTATCCAAATATTTTAATATTAAGTTACTTTGTTCCCACTTTTGATATCTTTGGACAACAGCTCATAAACTTTCCTTAATGCTCCTGGCTATTCAATTGTAATTGGGATGACCTTGGGAAAATGAAAACAAAAAACAAAAAAAAACAAGATAAAGTGATCCTTCTAGAAACACAAGAGATAAGAAAATTACCTCAAGAGCTTCTTTCCGCAGTAGGAAAAGAGAAACAAGGAATTGGGGCAAAATTAATTCTTCCGAAGAAATTTCTATTAATCAACTTTTAAAATATGCACGCAACAAAACCAAAATAAAAGGCTTTATTTTTTCCTCCCTAAATTTTTACCTTCACCTACCCACATACACATCAACTTTCATATTTCTAACATAGCAATTTGCTACACATCCTAATCATAGAAATGCTTTGCAACTGAGAAGAACTAATTAGGTTCTAACTTAGGCTCTTACTGTGACATTGGGCAATTTTCTTAGCTTCTCTCTGAGTACTAGTTCCCTCACCTTTAAATGTCTATTAAAAAATTGCCTTAGAGGGTTCTTTTATGAAGTACATAGTGGATGTGAAACACAAGTGTTCCTTTACTAAAAGATATTATTTAAATGTTTAATAATGATTACATCATTATTTTCCTTATATAAAAATATTTTATGCTCCCCAAGATCTCTTTTCTTTCTGCAGAGTTGTCTGTATATCTGCTATGGCCATTTCCTACCTTAACCCTTAAAAACAACAACAAGAACGTGAGAGAGTGTGCGAGACAGGGACAGAACCAGGGGCAGACACTCTGACTGACAAGTTGGGCCCAAACTTTTTGGAAATTTTACCTCCCTGAAATCTCTTTAAACACAATATTTCTTTACGAATTTCCTCCTGAGCTGATTACATTATTCTGGCCCTGTGAATTACTTTACAGCATCCCCTTTCCCATCAGTGGAAATGTTATCTGTATTTCATAAGCTCATTTCATCCACCCTTCAAAAAGCCTTTCCTAATTTTTCTCAACTAAAGATATTTCTTTTCTAAATCCTCATGGTATATGCTATCTTATTATTGACATTTATATTAAACATTATATTGCCATCACTTGTATAATTTTCTTACTATTTTATTTTCCCAGCTACATTTTAGGCTTCCTAAATTGTTTCTAATTTAGTACTTAATAGGCACCCAACAAATTCATGCTGAATTATGTAGAGTATGAACACAACATAAATCATAAGAGAGAGAAATAAAGTTATAGATTTTAAAATTTAAATATTTGCTACAGTCTTGTATCTTGTTAGGTTTTTGCTGTAAAAGGATCTGAATAATCCTGTCAATCAAATAATTTCTTCTATGAAGTAAATAAAATAAGCAATGCCTTTTGACACCATGGAATATGGAATATATATTAACAAAATAGGAATACAGAGAAAATTATATAAGACCAGAGAGTCCACCTTGCTGAAAGGTCCTAGTTATTAATGGTACCTCATTAACTTAGAAGAAATGATATTCAGAGGGAATTAATGCCATGATTCATGATGTCCTTGTAGCATAATAGGGCATAAATTCATGAGTAAATATTCAAAGAAATTTAATTTATATTATTTGACATAACAAATGACATCACATCAGCAGAGGAAATAATTATTTAAACTGATCAAAATAAAGTGAAGTTCTGGTCAAAACTAACAGAACAACAACAACAAAATCTCAGCCAAATAAAGAGATAAAACATAATAATGGATTGTGAATTATCAGGATGGACTGCTCCACAAGTGAAACAATTTGATTATGAAGGTATTTCAAATACACAGAGATAATAAAGTATGTAACCATTGATAATCTTTTTTTTTATAATTTGCAATGTGAAGAACATAAAAAGAAACCTGAAAGCAAAGTTACTGAAAATGACAAAAGATTAAAAGTACTAGAATTGTCAGTCTTAGAGTAACAAAGACCAGAAGATATAATACAGACATTTTTTATATAGAATAACAATATCAGCATCACCTAGCAACCTTGAAAATGCAGATGCCCAAGCCCACCCTAGATCTAAAGAAACTCTGGGGTGGGGCCCAGCAATCTGCGTTTTAACAACCCTTCTTTCCAGGTGGTTCTGATGCGCACTAAAATTAAGGTTTAATGATACAGAATACTGAGATCAAACAGGAATAGGATACTTGTGGCAGTTATAACAAAGTATCAATCTTATTCTTCTCTTACTTACAGAACTTCCCCTTTGTCCCATCCAAAGCTGAATCTTAACCCTAAAGTTATCCCAAATTCCTTTCAACTCCAATGTATATGGAAATACAGAATTAAGAACAGAAAGCATTTTCTTTTTATATTAATTCTGCAAAAACTGGGACAGAAGCATGCATAAAGTAATCTGATACTTTCAGCTACAGTGAAATCCACACATGTGGCTTGACTGAGGGGCACCTGAAGTTACAAAGGTCTCTGAAAATATTAAAAAATAAAGAATGCTGAGGTGAGGTTTTTAGGGTTAGTACTATTACTAACAAACCTGCCCCAAACTTTTCCCCAGAATGTTTCCAAATTTGGGAGAAGAAAGCTAACAGATAAGCACTCTTGGTTTGATATCTACGGGAGATTTCTGTGGTTTGTAAGTCAGAGGCCATAGTGCTGGGAGGTTATCTGGGAAACAACTATTCATCTTTCTCCTTGTGAGAAACCTCTCCCAATTTTGGTGCTGACAAACCCTGCACTATGTGGCAGCTAAGATATATGTACTGAGGGGTACATTTGCTTGTTCCATTAGTAATATATCACTCTTTTCCTCTATAATACTGTGACAGACTCTTAAAGCAAGCTGTAGGGAAAGCAAAAAAGTGTCTACAGAAAACTGCTAATTAGGTAGCTCTTAAAATAAGCATGGCTAGATTAAAATATAAAATAATCCAAACATAATTAATATTCAAGAAACCAGTCAGGGAAAAGAACATTATCCAATTCTTTTAAACCTTTGATACATACTCTATTTCTTCACATGTCATCACTTGTTGTTTTCAGGTTTCTTTGCAATTTCTTCACATTCTTACTAAATTCTAAAAGGAAAGATTACCAATACTTAGTGTATTTGATATACCAACTTGTGTTCATTAAAGAGAAAAAAAAAACCTCCCCCCAAAACCTCCTCTTCTAACTGGTGGTGGAAACGAAGGCATTCTCACAATTAGTGGCATCACCAGTATACCTCTGATCATTAATCACATATTAATCCACTGGATTGTTGGTAAATTTGCCAAGAATCAGGTGATCAACAACCAAGCTGTTCTCACTGATCACATAAAAAGAAATGGACTTAAACTAGAGAAAGGATATTAAGTTACATAGTTTTAACTTGAATGACACTAGAATGGACTAACCAGTGAAAAGTTGTAATTTTTCTCCTTTAAGGGAAAAGGAATCAAATATTTATCAAGCAAGTACTGGGCCAGGATAATATGGGAGTTCTGCACAGGCATTTTACAGATGTCATTTCACCCATGACACCACCACTGTCACCTCTAGTTTATAAAGAAAGACACTGAGGATGACAGAGGTTAAGACATTTCTCCTATGTTCACACAACTATGAAGTGGCAGGGCTAAGGTGCTAACTGAAGTTGGTCACCCAGAAACTTCATTTTCCCCCCAGCATCCCAGGTTGCCTCTCAGTGACGGTGGTCTACAATACAAAAGTGAAAAGTGATGGCGTCCTGTTCCGTGATTGTCTTTACTACTACTGGGTTGACTTGATGGGCACTGGACCTGTTCTACACGGATCTTCCCATTCTCCAAATCCCTCATTTTATGCACTGTTTATTATATTTTATTTTATTTTTTAAAATTTTACTTTAATCATTGTTCAAGTACAGTATTCTCCCTTTTATTCCCATTCCAGCCCACCCACTATGCACTGTTTATTTTGGCACTCAATCATATGCTATCTTAAATGTTAAATACATTCATATCTTATATCTGCAGCAACAAAAAATAGGTATCCAGCAGTGTCCAGACCCAACTGTGGGTTTGACGCCCTATGTATCTCAGCATCCCCCGGAGCTCAGCAGTGTGCTACACGGCAGGTGATCGGGATGTCGGTTCAGAGACGTATAGAAAGAAGGTGTGGCTATAACGTTAACAGAACTTTTCTACCAAGGAAAATGTGGAATTAGAGTCACTTATGTTTAACCATATCGCTACTATACATAGTCACTTATTGAATTTTATTAATGACCTTATAAGGAGACAGAAAGAAAACCTAAAATGAGCCAAGTAGTGTTAAAAATCTGCTAAAGCCAAAGTTGGTGCATTCATATTTAGTAGCTACCTAATGTCAGTGTCCTATAACATCATAAAGTTTTATTTCCTGGATTTTTAGTTGCAATGTTTCATAGACCGTAGCCTTTACATCTAGGCTGTGCAGCTGTAAGATGAAATACTTAAGTTCTCTCTTTTAAAAGGGAAAAGCTACTTGACTTTAAAAAAAACACATTTTTATATACAAGAAGTCAAGACAGAAATACCATCCAAGACAAAGATCAAACCGGCACACCTGTTACTACTTTTTAAAGTGATCGCTAATTTCCCCACGGCCACAGTAAAGCTTTCCTCCGCAGCTAGTCTCCCGAAGCAGCGACCTGTGAGCCGCGCAACCGACCCCACAAAATGACATTCAAAATGAACAAATGGTTTTTAAAGTGACAGTGGGGTGGAGGGGAAACGGACACTAGTTTCCAGGAACACGACGTTACGCTCCGCCGCCCTGGGTCGTAATTCCGTCCCCAGATCGGATCTGGGGAAGGCTCAGCCGAGGCCAGAGACAGCCTCGCACACGCCCCCGCCCGCATCTGCCTCCAAGCCCTCGTCCCCCGGGGCTCACCGCACCTGCAAGTCCCTCGCGCTCGGAGGCCGGGACCCAGAGGACCTGTCGCGCTCGCCCGGCTCTGCGTGGCCGCCTTCCGCCATATTTGACCCGCTCTTCTGCGTCCACAGCCGCAACTTCCGGGGACGGTTGCTTGGCAACTGGGGGAGGCGGTCCCCGAGCTCCTTCAGCTTCCTCCCGAGCTCGCGCTCGCCCTTCTTTTTCCGCGCCAGCCCACCTGTCCTAAACCCTTTTTTCCCTTCTTAACGGGAAATAATTGGCTCAGAGAATCTCTCCACAGAGAAGTCTCTACTTGAGTCTCTTGATTCCTCTGCGGAGCGTCTGAAAGTGATGTAGGCCGCCCTAGGGGGCACCGTAGACTGGCTGGTTCTTTTAACAGTGGGAACGTCCTTTGCATGTTTATCTCAGTAAGATTGCTGCTTTACTTTTCTAGTTCAAATTCTCTCATGTTTCCTACCAAGGACTGGGTGGCCACAAAGCGTGATTGATGTTGAGAATAAAGAACCTCGTAAAAAGCTCTTTGCAATCAGAACTAGAGACTACTAAATTCTCCTCATTGATCTGAGGTTTATGCAATCAGAACTAAAGAATGCTAAAATCTTCAGTGATCTGAGGTTTATTTAAACTCGTGTCTTATCCCAGGCACTTTATGCCCCCTGGATGCAAAGGTAGAGTAGTCCCGCTAGCCCTGGCTACTGTGGCTCGGTGGATTGAGTGCTGGCCTGCGGGCCAGGGAAATGACGGTTCGAAGCCCAATCAGTAGGGTACATGCCCGGGTTGCAGGCCAGGTCCCCAACAAAGGGCACACGAAAGGCGACCCCACATTGATGTTTCTCTCCCTCTCTTTCTCCCTCCCTTCCCCTCCTCTCTAGGATAAGTAGTCTCGCTCAATAGAAATACAAAAACTCAAAAACTCATCTTGACAACCTTACCATCTCGTGGGGAGGGACGTGAACAGATAATAAAATGCAATTTGCAAGAGCTTTGCGGGAAATGTGGGTGTAAAGAGAAGTATTCTGTTGGTGCCTACTATGTGCACCAGGCTGGCTAGGTGCATTCTGTGTGTAATCTCATTCATAGGGGCTCATTCATCGGCCCAGGTAAGTATTAGTATTGTTATTATTGTGTTGTACCTGAGGAAACCAGATGATGACTAAATTTCAACCTGCTGTAAATGGCGGTACCAGATAGTAAAACTTGCATTTCTTGTCCCAACATTCTTTTTAATACGTTTAATACAACATTCTGCCCTACCTGGAGCTTTTTTATGTCCCATAGAGCCAATGATATTTTTGCTTTATCTTAAAGGATAAATACTTCCAGTAGACTGTGGACCAAAATGCACCATAGGAAAAAGCATAGATTTGAAATATAATGTGTGTTAATAAACAACTGTGTGGTTGAAGCTTAGGAGAAATCATAAAAGATGGTTTGGGGATGGGGTGTGTGGATCCAGACTGCAGAGTAGGCTAGACAGATTCAGAGGGATGTTGCCTTAGTGAAGAAATTAAACATTACCTTCGGGCCAGTGATTCTCAAAGGTTGTTGCTGTACATTAGAACACACTTCCCTCTTCCTTTACCCCATGTACTCAGATTTAATTAGCATGTGGTGAAACACAAGCATTATATTATTTAAAATCCTCTCCAAGTGGACTTCAGTTCTGGCAAAGGCAGTGCAAATGGAACTGAACTTGCCATCCCACTCTCCCAAAATAATAAAATATGAAACATCTATGTTCAGACATTTGAGTAATAGGCAGTACAGGTCTGTGATTTTCCAGGGAAGGGACACAAGCAGGATGAGCTGTGTTTGCTGTGGTTTTCTGCCTGGAACTCTCCCACGATGCAGTGGGAATGAAGAATGGTGTAGCTACATTGGAAAATAGTTAGTGTATTCTAAAGTTAAATATTCAGAGTTAAAGTTAAATATGGCATAAGATCCAGTATTTCCACTCTTAAGTACAAGCCCAAGAAAAATCAAAATATATATTTACAAAAATATTTGCACCCAAATGTTCATAGAAGCTTTACTCATAATAGCCCCAAAATAGAAATAACCAATCAACAAACAATAGATAACATTTTGATAAATTCACACAATGGAATACTATTCAACAGTAAAAAGGAAGAAATCTTACACCATGGATGAATCTTAAAGACATTATGCTGAGTAAAAGAAGCCACATGCAAAAAGGTAAATATTTTCTGATTTGATTTATATGAAATGCTAGAATAGACAAGACTAAACTTTACTGCCAGAAAGCTGGTAGTTGTGTTAAACAAAAAACTTCTTGGCCAAGAGCTTTTCTGGAAAAAAAAAAGGTTTTATTGTGCCACATGCTATCCAGGAAAAGGACCAGGCACTGGGGCATGCAGTCTGAGCCACCAGCAAAGGCTAGCTGGGAAAGCCAAACCTGTCTGCTGTACTGCAGCTATCAGTGTTTTCTTGTCAAGGGAGTTTGGGGAAGAAAGATGTAAGTCCTTTTGAAAGAATTTACATTGGCTGTAGATAATGTGGTTGGGAAAAGGTGGAATGGAGACAGTTCTGGGATAGGTGCATCGCCCTTAAGGAAGAAATATTTGCTACTTTTGGATTGCCTGTGGGCAACAGTCTGGGAAGTTCATGCACAAGCAAGATGTGGTGGCCTCTGATGTTTAACTATTTCCTCTAGATAATAGCTGAAATAGCCAGCTGAAAGTTGCCTCAAAGTTTCAGCTTACATTAGGAATGTAAACAGTCTTTTGTTTCTGCCCTCAGAGGTTAACTGGTTAACCCCCCTGTCTCTCTTCCCCTGACAAGCCTGCTGTCATTAAATTAAGAACACCTTAGAATTTTTCTCTTATCAGTTGCTTGACATTGTTTCTTTGGAGAAGAATAAGCTTGGGAAGTTTGACCTAAAAAGGGACATAGGGAGCCTCTTGAGGTAATGAAAATCTTTTATATCTTGATTGTGGTAGCAATCACACAGGTATATACATTGTTAAAACCACAGTGAGCTATTTACTTAAAATTAATGCATTTTATTATATGTAAACCATACATTTATAAAGTTGGTTGAAAAAACCTCCCCAGATAATTCTGTTGTCCTGCCATGGTTAAGAACCACCAATCTAAGGCAATTGAGAGCTATTAATGGATTTTTAATTTAGAAAGATCATGGATGATGCATCACTGTTAATTGAGTCAGCTTTAGTAAATTCAAAGGTTATTGCAACAGTGAGGCATGATTTGGACCTAAATTTTATCAGTGGCAGTGAATATAGAGAGAAGTAATATTTGGTAGAGATGTTAGGGTCAGACCTAAAGGTGCTAGTGTCTGACATGTGGGAAATATATGAAAGAAAGAAGAATAAAGAATGACATCAGGGGTTTTGGTTAGATAATTTTTTTAATGGAACAACCTGTAAATTACTGAGTTGAAAGAGAAAAATAAACTTCAAAAGAAAAAACCATATGCTATGGCCATTTTGAATTTGAAATTTATGTGGGATCTAGGGTAAAAATAACTTCATGGTGCAATTGTAAATTTGGGTGTAGCTATGAGGAAGCTAGGAGAGAATTTTGGATTGGGGATACAGATTTGATGTTGACTGCATAGAAGTGATAGCAGAGTAGATGAGGCTTCCAAGGGCGATGAGGTGTATGAGAAGATGCAAGGACTGAGAATGCTCAGAAATGTCAACAATGAAGGGCTCAATGGAGAAAGGACATATGAAATAGACTAAGGAATACTCAGAGGTAAGATGAAGGGAACAAACTGAAAAACATTAATGACAGGGAGGTCTCAAGGAAGAGACTGGCAGTGTCATTTCTTACAGATAATTAAGTAAAGTTAGGACTGAAAAGTATCCACTAGACTAAGGAAAGAGGAGATTGCTGTTGCAAAGGCCCCTCCTAATTTCACAGGGATGAAAATCTACATTTTAGTGATTTCAGAGTGACAGCTCGGACAGTAAAGACTACATTTTCAATGTACTTAAAGTCAGCGGTGTACAGGAGGTGGCTTATACTGGCTCATGAGAGCCTATTGTTAAATTTTCAGGAATTTTATAGACAGTTGTTAAACACAGCTATTATTAAACATTAAATTATATAAACTTACAATGAAATCACACTAAAAACTAATGTAATACATACTCAAAAATCATTTCCTGATTATTTAAATACTTGTTATTATTATCTATGCTCTTGAGGCTATATGGAGGTGCCATATGAGGGCATGCTACTGCACACCTGCTTCTTACTCCACATTCAGTGACAATCTGGTGGCAGCTTGAAACTCACTATGATGGGAATATTGACACCTCCACAACTGGCTAAGAACCACAACTAGCAATTTGATATAGTGTTTTGTTGATTGTCTACTTTGGATTTAAGAATGTGGTGGGAAAAATGTTTATAATGCAGTTAAAACTTAAGAGTGTGCTGTGTCTATAGCTATTATATTGTGAATAGCAAAACAAAACAAAACAAAACAAAAAAGAGAAAAAAAGAAATTTTCTTCCAGAATTTGAAAATTATTAGCCAACTGAAGAAAGAAGCTGCTTATGTCACATGATTGAGTTACTGTATATGTTTGCATTGCTTCACTCACATCTTGTTAATGTGAATAAAAATGTCAACCAACACTCGCATGGCCCCTTTGAACTCCTCTTTCTCTTAGCTTGTGATGAAAGCTATGGTACCTTTTTCCATTCTTCTCCAAAGAAGTATGATCACAAGTACCTCATTCCCTTTTTATTCTCTATTTTATATTCTCAAGGCAGTTGAGGGGTTCAAAATCATGGAATTTATTCTGTAGGGATTACCTTCCAGGAGCTTCTGTCTCGTATTTGCTTTGACATATAATGTGTATTATTCTTTGGGATGCTTAAACGAGACACTTAATTTTAATGCCTTGTTACACTTACTTATTTTCCTTCATTAGACTGTAAGATCATAGAGGCCCTGGGCCATGTCTTTATCTCTTGTGCCTTAATATATATCCTGGAACATAATATGTCCTTTTAATAATGAATGAATGAAGGAAGAAGGGGTCCATAACTCAAATCCAGGTTTGACTTTCTTAAAGTCCATTTTCCATTCATTGAAAG